CGCAACAACTTGGAAGTGTCGCTTTGAGCACCCGAGAGCCACAGGCCCCAACGAGGACCTGTGGACCCGAGCGAGAGCCGCCTGGCAGGCCCGCCCAGATCGATTGATTAATGTAGTGTGGACGGCCTCTCATCTCGACGAGTCCCCAGAATTGCTAGACCCCCAGCAGCAGCAGTTCCTGGCGGCAGGCAATTTAGTAGCGGATGTTTGGGCGGGAGTCGGGGCGGAGTTGGCGTGGGAGTTCGGGCTGGTGGGGACTGTACCTGACTCGGACAGGATTGACTCGATTGCGCACCTGGTCCGCAAGCGAGCCCGTCGGGCGCTCACGCTGGCCGCCTCGTCAGAGACGGGAGAGCGCGCTGGCGGAGCCCCAGTATTCAAGAAGCTTTCCAAGCAGGAGAAAGCGATTCGAGATTCGTCCCACCAGCTAGAGCAAGTAGGTAGCAAGTGGAGGTGCTCTCAATGCGAGTTGATCGTTCCTGGATGCAGGTTTTTGCGTTTTTCGGTTTCGTCGTGCGCTGGGCCCCCTGGGAAAGGCGTCCCTGGGGCCCCCGAGTGCACGCCGCTGAACGGTGTGGACCTGGAAATCCACCCGTCTCACTCGATCACATTTGTTGATCGCTGGTTCTTACAGATTTGCTCCCTCTGCGGGATGTATGCCACCGTGGACTCGAGGTCCCTGCGGAAGAAGTGCGCGGGTCTCACGCCGAACGGCGCTGAGAACATGCGCAGAATTGACCAAGGCTGTTTCCTCGGCGGGAATGCCCCCCAAGAGCCATCAAGATGGCCATGGCTCGGAGAGACGGGTGTCGTGTCGTGTCGGCCCACGAGGCCTGGGGGGAGGTGCACCGCGAGCCTGAGGGGGCCCCCGCCGAGCCCCCATGCGTGACCCGTGCCCGCGACGACGGGCAAGAGCAGGAGCAGCTGCACCGCGTGGCCAAGGAGCTTCGGACGCAGGCGATTGTTCAGAGACTGCTGGCAGCGGCCCGAGGGCCGCAGGTTGGAGACCAACGGGTCACGCAGGGGGATTCAGACACTTCGGACTGACTGCAGCAGACAGGATGAAGGACGGGGTGTGGACTGTGTCCTAGAGCAAAGAGGTCAAAGAGGTCCTCTTCCCCTTCGTCCCCCTCCTCGTCCTCCAGCTCGTTCTCCTTTCCAACTCATGGTGATGGTGGTGGAAACAGGCCCGTCACATCTCTTTTCACCGGTGTCGGCGTCGTGATTCCTCTCGGGAGGGAAGGGCCTGGACGATCCCTGCGGCAGGTTTGCCCGCCGACCTCCCTTGCGCCTGGGAGAGGCAAAGCCGGCTGTGCCACGGCGCTGCGGTGTTACCACACTTGGGAGTAAGATCTGCCTTCGGGGACTTCGGCAGGGAGTGGGTATGGATATCGGAGTGCGGGGGCCGAACGGTCATTGATTGTCCAGCGGTGCGTGGCTCAACTGGGATTCCGGTGTCCAGATTGTTTTTGTTGTTGTTGAATTCTTCTTTCTGAAGAATAATTATTGTTCATCCCCCCCCACCGGTGCATACTGTTTTTTCTCAATCAAAGTGTGCCCCTCGACGCTCGCGCTTAGTCTTGATGCTCAAACTGGGCCCCTGGCCGCCGGGTTACAACAACAACGGCTCCCGCCTGAGACTTCCTTACAATTTAGCCAGGACCCCCGCTCCCGCCCGATACTTCCTCGCATTTGATTCAGGAATCGCGCTCTCGCTTGGGATTTCCTTGCAATTTATTCAGGAATCTCTCCCGGCGCTCTGGAGTCGCGCTCTCGCTGGAGACTTGCTTGCAACTTGTAACTTACTGAAGAATGGCCTTGCGTTGGAGTTTCCTGCAATTTGCCCAAGCGCCGCGCTCCCGACACCCAGGCACCCAGGAGTCGCGCCCGTTGTGGCCCCATGTGCATGCCCCTCGTGGCCCCGCTGTCGCCATTTCTGTCCCCCTCACTGTCCTACGTGGCCCAGTTGCTACCCTCAGTGGCCCCATAGTTGCCTTCTGTGGCCCCGCATTATTTGCACTTCGTGGCCCCCGCTCGTTTGCGCTCTTCGTGGCCCCATACGCATTCATTCCCTTCGTGTCCCCGCTGTCGTCCTTCGTGGCCTACCTCGTGCCCTTCGTGGCCCGCTGTCGTTCTCTCTCGCTCTCGCTTTCGCTCGTCGTCGCCGTCCTCGTCGTCGCCGTCGTCTTCGACGTCGTCGTCGTCGTCGTCGTCGTCGTGGTCGGTCCCCTGTCCGTCCCTCTTGGGGTCGGGTCGACGGTCCGTGGCCGCCCCGCCGATCAGCGCTGCCGCTGGCCAGGCCGACGGTCCGCGGCCGCCGCTTGCCCGGGCCCGGCCTGCAGGGAAGAAAGGTGCACTCCCCAGAGGGGGTTCGATCGAAGACGAAGAGGGCGGGTATCGAGGGTTTGGGATATGCGTTTTGGACACTCGAGCATATAATGGCGAACAGTCTTACAATTATTGTTGTTGCTGTGTAATTGAGGCTCACGCTCAAGCGTTTCGGGCTACTGCCCAAAGCTGCTTCCCCAACAACAACGCTCCCTGCGAGATGTCCTTACACATTACTCCGAGAGGCCCTGGTCAGAGAGAGCCCGATTCGCTGCTCGAAGAGCGCTCTCACCTGAGACCTCTGCGCAATTCAGCACAACGAGAAGGTCCTTCAGAGCAGTCTTGCCGCTATTTGCGGATGCCCGAACAGCCCCAGTGGCTGCGTTCGCATACGCTCACCGCGTCTGTTTCGGCACACCTCTTGCGCGCGTCGTGGCCCCACTGGAGGCTCCGCCGAAGGCAATATTAACAACTACGTGATTTACAAGTGCATATGGCTGGGTCTCTTGCCAGGATACTTCACAAGGGAAACTATTGGGCCTCATATTGGGTCGCTGGCCCCTGACTTACCACAACAGTGGTTCCCGCTTGGTATTTCTTGACAGTTTATTCGAGTCGCGTTTTCGCGCGGACTTCCTCACACTATATCAAGGAATCGCGCTCTCGCGTGGCACTTCCTCACAAGTTGTTGCGTCGTCACGCCACCAACACCCAGGAGTCACGCCCTCGCTCTGGACTTCCTCACGATTTACTTGGCCATCGCGTTATCGCTCGAAGCTTTCTTCCCGATTCGTGCAGGACTGACGCTTCACCGATCAGCCACTCCACGCTGCCGTCTGGACCCGCCCGCCCGACCCGCCTGCCCGACCAACCCGTCTGGTACTGCCACGTCTGTTTCTTATCTTGGCCCCCCTCCTGCTAATCTCTGTCGTGTTCCATCCTTCTCTCTCCCCGTTGTCCTTTCCCTCCATCCTTCTCTATTTTCAGGGCTGCGCCAACTAAACGGGGCAGGTAAGGCAGATATACCCCCAAGGGGGGTGTGACCGAAGACGAAGGGGGATGGTTTCGAGGATTTGGGATATACATGTTGAGTCACCCGCGAGCATTTAAGAGTGAACAAGAGTGAACATTCTTAAAATGATTGTTGTTTGTTGTTGTCGTCGTCCTCGCCCGCGAACCCCCCGCGACCCACCCCGCGACCCACCAGCGACCCACACGCGACCGACCCCGCGCCCGCCCGTTCGCGTCTATCCGCAAATGCGGGATGCTACGCAGTTGTATTCGACACCCCCAGGGCCCAGCAGGAAGGGAAGGTGGCCTGGACCATCACCTGCTGCGGACCCTCAGTGGCCCAGGGGGGTGGGTGGCTGGCTGATTGAGGGCGGCGGCAAACTACGGTCGGACCGAGACAGGTCGGACCGAGACATAAGATCGAGATCGATTCGGGGAGGGTACCCCAATGTTCTTTGTGTTTGTTAGGTGTTCTTGTGCATTCTGGGGGAGGGTACCCTCGAATGCTCCTCATTTTGGCCAGCGGAGGGTCTCATGGTCTCGAAGGATGTTTTTCTGTCCTAGGTCCAGCCGCACCTACGAGTGTGTTGTCGGACGGGGCCAGGACGAGGATCAATCCGTTCCAAAGCGTTCTGGGACGCTCTCAGAGCGTTTCGGAACGCTCTGAGAAGGCCGCGGCGCCGGAGACATTCTCCAGAGCAGCCAGATCCTGGCTTTGTCGTAACCTCCTTTGTTGCGGCCCGCGGGCCCTCTCGAGGCTCTCTGTGTCTTGATCTTTTCGGATCTGGTTGACCCGAAAGGGGGTCTAGCTACATGGGGGTTGTGCAATAGATCTGGTGCAATAGAATTGTGTGCTGCAATAGATTTGGGGCGTGCAAGACATTTCTGGGCGCAAATGTGTTGCTGGATTTTCGCGTGTTATACTTTAGTCCCGATACAATGCAATACAATTCTCTGGCGCAATACATTTGCAATACAATTGCCCCAAATCTAATGCACCACCCCCTTTCCCGTGGACCCCCTTTTATGTCAACCGAATCGAAGGGTGCCTCGCCTCGCAGAAGAATTTCGGGCGTGCCCACCACCCTGGGGGAGGGTACCCTTGAATGCTCTTCATTTTGGCGGGCAGGTTCGACTGTATGCCGTTCCGCCAACCCCCCGGTGAGGCTTGGAGTCCACGGTCGGGGCGTCGTGTGCTTCTTGGGCATTGTCTGGGGATTCTGGTGGGCGTCTTGGGAACTGTTTTTGGGGGCGTGGCTGGGCCTTGGAGGCAGTTCTGAAGCGTCTTCGGGGACGTGTTGTCGGACGTGCAGACTCTCCTCAGGATCGTGCTGCATGTGCCGCCCCCCCTCGGGGGCGACTTGGGGGACAGCCTCGGCCCCAATGCAGGGATGTGTCAGGGACTGCCGCCCGCAGAGCTGGTGTTTGAAAGCCGGCTGCCAGAAAGACACGAGGAATGTTTAGGCCCACGCGAGACGTTTGGAAGCCTTGAGCTAAGGTTGAAGCTTGTTTCAAATAGGCTTTTGGAGCCCAGATTTAGGTCTGAAGTTTGTGCCACATATTATGGGTGGTTAAAACATTTGCAGCACGTGCATCAATCACCTTGCACGGGTACACGAAATATGTCTGAAGTAGTCCTCTTTTTCCTCTCCCGCCCCCTCTTTTCCTCCTCCTCCTCCTCCTCCTCCTCCTCCTCCTCATCCTCCTCCCTCACCGATTTCATCGTCGTTCTGCTGTAATCTGTCCTGATGGGGCATTGTGGTGGTGCGTCGCCGCTCCTCACGGTCCCTCTTCCCACGTCGGGGTGAGCAAAGGTTCGAACCCCGTCGTCGGTTGGGATTGCTGGTTTCCTCACCCCGCCCATCCCTCTTCGTTAGACGTCTTCCACCTCCTGCTCCTCCTCTGGTTTCACGCTTTCACATGGGTTCGCTGCCAGTGACACGTTGATGGTGCCCATGCTCGCCTCATCGGGTTGCCTTGCCCTGAAAAATGGATTCCTCATTGTCATTATCATCGTTCGTTCCTAGCCCTTCCCATTATCCTTCTCCTCGTCTTTTGTTGCTGCTGCGGCAACGCCTTCGCGCCCTTCGCATCCCGTCGAAGCAACAGGCGCTCGCCGCGCGCGGCTAGCGCTCTCGGCCCGAACTGTAATACCGCCGCCAGAGGTAGGGGAAATGAGGAATCGATGTTGTATGTTGATGTCTGCTGATGTAGGAGGCAGGGCTTCGCGTCGCTCTCCTCGCGCATGAGGTAATCCTCAATGGAGCCCAGCATGTTGTTCTCCCCGTTGATGTAAATGAAGGCGTCGATCTTCATGTCCTGGGTGAGTACGCTCCAGACGAATCAAGGTAGGAAAAACCACCCAGACCCCAACATTGGCGTTTACAAAGCGACCCTGGGCGTTCACAAGACAGCCCCACCCTGTTCGATTCTTTCCATGGGCGCGTTTACTAAACGGCTTCGCTTGTCGGGGTGCTTCTTATCGGGCTGGATTGCTTGCCCTCTATAGAAGCAGTAGGCTCGGATCGTGCTGCATCTGCTTCCTGGCTGCGCGGATCTCCTTCAGGCAGTGTCGTTTGCCCGGGCCTGCTTGGCGCTGCGGCTGTCCGTGGGCTCCTCGTCGGCAGTACTCCTGTCATGAAGCCCAACGGGTGGAGGGATGCCCTCGGTTCGGCGGCGAGCCCGGGGGAGAAGTGAGAGAGAAGGGGCGGCCTTCTCAGAAGGCTCGGAAGTCCCCCGGCCTTCTGAGAAGTGTTCTGAACCTTCCCCGAAGGCACAGGAAACGTTTCAGAAGGCGCGAGGGCTTCTGAGAAGTCCCGCCGCGCGTTTTTCTGGGAAGGCCTTCTCCTTCTCACTTCCCCCCCTCGCCCGCCGCCGCTCGGTTTTGTGCTCGCCAAGGCTGTTCCAGACGCTGCGAGTAGTTCGACTCAGGTGATGTGGCACTGGTAGCGCAGCTTCTGGCAGTTAGTGAGATGGCCGATGTTGTGGTCCAAGTAGCACACCCTGATGTGAAGCACGTCGTCCGCGTGGTAGTCTGCGTATTCCTCGTCTGGGAACAATTGCTCAACGATCGCCTGCTTCAGCGTGGCGATGGTAGGAGTCGTGGTAATGTCCAGCGTCACGTGCTTCTCGCTGTCGGGGTCGAATGGTAAGTAGTAGGGGAAGCGGACCGATGTAGGTCAGGGGCGGCTTTTGGCAGCGTCCTCTTCCTCCTTCGCTTGTCTCCTCCTCCCTCCCCTCCTTCCCTGCCCTTCACCACCTTCCCTTCCTCCTTGTCTTTCTGTACCCCCTTCCCCTTGCCAATCTTTTGCAAGACCGCTGCCTCCTCCTCATCCTCCGCCTCTCCCTCCTCCACGCCTGCCGTCCAGACCTCTCCCGGAGCGCTTTCCGTTCGGACTCTCCGGTGCAATTCCTGCCGTGGCGACAAGGGTGGCCCCCCAAAGGCCAGAACGTGAGGAGGATGAGGAGGACAAAGAGGCAGAAAGGACGAGGACATATAGGGATCATCATTCGTGATTCACTCCCTCTGGCCTGCGAGCCGCAGCCCCTGACCCTAACCGACCGGGAGGCGATGAAGGTGTCTCCAGATGGCTCCAGAGGTCCCAGGAGGTCCCCAGTGGCATTTGGAGACCCCTCGAGGGCCAAACGAAGTCAGAAGGTCCACACGTCTCGATCCTAGGACCTCGAAGCTCGATCCTCCTCCTCCTCTTCTGCTGCTGCTCCTCCTCCTCCTCGTCCCCCCCGCGGCTCGGATCAAATGCCGCCCCGCGACAAGCATGCCCGCGCGACCGCGCCCGCCCTCTGGAGAGGACTACCCGCTGATCCACGTGGCCGCCCTGGCGGGCCTCACGGAGACGTTCCATGCGAGGGGGGGGGGTCCTCCTCCTCCTCCTCCTGCTCCTCCTGCTCCTGCTCCTCCTCCTCCTCCTCCTCCTCCTCCTCCTCCTCCTCCTCCTCCTCCTCTTCCTCCTCCTCCTCCTCCTCCTCCTCCTCCTCCTCCTGCTCCTCAGAGGAGGAAAAAAGGTATCGATTCCGCTACCCATCCCTCGTTTTCCCCCTTTCTGGGCCTCCTGGGAGGCCCTAGTCGCCACCGCTTGATTCGCTTCGAAATCTTGGTCAGAACGCATCCTGGGAGAGGTCTGGGCAGTAGCGGTATCGGTACCGCTTGGTTTCCCCAGCTCACTCCCCTCGTTTCCGCCTCCTACCTCGTCGTCGTCATCTTGCCCTCCCTCCTTGTCTTCCCCCCGCCTCCACCACCACCACCACCTCCTCCTTCCCTTCTCGTCATTTTTAATGCCTCCCTGCTCTGTCGCACCCCCGGACGTGTCGGTAGGGCGGGCTGCGCATGTCGCCTGATCTTGAAGCTTGAGAGTTGCCACAGCTTCACGGGTGGTTCGTGTCTTAGCGCCGAGCGCAAGCTTTTTGTTGCAACTGTTTTGCGGATGGAGGGCTGGCGGTCTTTAACCTGTGGTTATTGTTGTAGCGCCGCGCACATTCGTCTTAAGCAGTCACGAGAGTCTCACGGATGGATGGCAGGTCGTTTTCAACATGTGGTTCTCGCCGTAGCGCCGCGCACATCCGTCTCAACAGTTCGCAGTAGTTTCAAGATGGAGGGCGGGTCGTTTTCAAAATGTTGTTCTCGCCCTGGCGCCTCGCACATTTGGTTCATTTAAAAGGGTCGCAGTTTCAAGAAGGAAGGGCGGTTCCCGCTTTAGCGCCGCGCACGTTCGTCCAGTTAGTACGAGTTCAATGATTTGTGAAGTTTAAGTCCCAGGAACAGCGTTCTGGCACGATTTAGGATTGTCAGGACGAAACAGTAACGGTGCTTCGCGGTGTTGAAGTCCCTGGAATGGTGTTCTGGCACGATTGAGGACTGCCAGGACGCAACAGTCACGTGGAGTCGCTTGTGTTGACGTCCTAAGAACAGTGTTCTGACACGATTGAGGATTCTCAGACGGTTGTCTTCCAACGGGGACTTCCGCAATGAACATATTTCTTGCACGAATTTGTGAAGGGGGAATTCGGAGGGATGGTTCATTGCAACGCAGTTAGATGCATCTTGGGTTGACACTGGTCTTCCTTCTCCTCTTCTTCCTTCTCCGCCTCCTCCAAGGCCAAGGACCACGAGGAGGAGCATTACTGTGGAGGAGCAAGAGGAGAGGAGGGGGAGGAGGACGAGCAGGCGGACGGGGACGAGGAGGACGAGGAGGAAGCGCAGGAGTCTGCTCTGCTTCTGCTGCGTGCCTGTCTCTGCTCAACCATCCTGCATATGCCACTGCCGTGTCTTTCCTTTGTTCTCGTCCAGCTCTTGTCTGGGCCGCCCACGAGCGCGTGCCCAGACACCCGGCTCCCCGACTTTTGCGAGACGTGGCCCTCTTCAGGGCCACCGTCAGGGGGCGACAGGCTCCGGGGAAGGGGGGGGGTGCATCGAATCCCAGTCGCCCATCGGGGCCCGATCCCTCCCTGAGCAGGTCCCCCCCCCTGACGTTGCCCATCATATCCCCGACCTCTCGACCGCAGTTGTGTTGCACAAGCCGAGGTTCCGCGTACGGGCTCGCGTCTTGCAGGTTGGTCCTCGCGAGGCCCCAGGTTTGCTTGGTGCGCTTTGGCGATTCCGCTGACCGCTTTCGATATGATTTCGCTTCGCAGCAAAGGCTGAACGAAGGCAGAACGAAGGAGAACGAACACCAAACGAGAACGACAAACATTGTGTAGCTCTGGCCCTGCCCCCGCTTCTCATCCCGAGCAGTCCTTTGACTCGGCCTCCAGAGGCCCAGCTAGGCGAGCAAGGCGGGGGCTGCCGGCCCAGCAGGGCGAATAGGGCGGGCGACCTCGTCGGCGTCGCGGTGGCCCTCGTCAGGCAGGCCTCGGCCGAGGACAAGTCGCTCTACGGCGTCCCGGGACGCATCTCGGAGCGTTCCGCGGCGCTCCAGGGCGGCCGCGGAGGCCCGCTCTGTCCTTCAGACCCCCGCCGACTCACGGAGACGCCCGATGTGCCCTCGTCGGGATTCGTCCTCAGCCTGCCTTCGTATTGCAGCCAAGACGCTGACAAGGGGGATCACTTTGGGCTCAGATGGGGGCTCTGGCTTGCGGGCCGTTCCTCGGCTGTGGGTGGGGGAGCCTCTATGCGTGCCCCCGAGGCTCGCCGTGGCCAGATGAGCCCCTCCCGAGATTTTTCCAACACGTGGTCCCTGGAAGTTCCGACCCGTTTCATCCCTCGGACCGGCTTTTCTTCCCAGGTCGTCTTTGGACGGCCCCGGGGCCTGGCGAAGGCCCCCAGAGGCCAAAGACGGCTACGGAAGCCTCCCGTCGGTTTTTTGGGCTAGGACACGAGCATGTTTGGAAGCGTTCCTTCTGGGCAGCACGATGACTGTACTACGCCTTGGTTCCGTTCCAGGCGACAGATGCTTGCGCGCCGTCGTCCGCCCTCGCCGCGCCGGCCCCGAGGAGGAGGAGGAGCAGGAGCAGGAGCAGGTGCAGGAGGAGGAGGAGGAGGAGGAGG